GGATGGTGATACTTATCAAACGCAAATTTGTCATTAGAATAGGTCACATGAAAATTTAAAGCGCCTAGTAAAATGTTGACTTCCGAATCATGCAAGAAAAGTGATAAATGATCAAAAAGACGAGATGTATCAGCATAATTTACGCTAGGGGGATCAATAAACGACAAGCAAACGAACCTTTCTGCCAAGATAAACATCTACAATTGTACTTTCACAGTTAAAGATTAATCGCGGCCGGGTGACCAAAAAAAATTTTTTACGGCAACCGCCTGTTTTTTATTTTAATATCGCTGATTTTATTATAAAAAGAATAAAAATCACCCGGCTAGAGTGATTTAATGGGTTTACAAATTTTTGGAGACGCTGCAAGGCTTGGAGAAAAACAAGATCGCCACTCATCATACACCTCAGCTAAAAGGCACCTAAAAGGCACCGAGCAAGGCTCGCGTAGTTCATCTACAAGGTAAGTGCGAAAGTAAAGCTAAAGTCAGGCATTATGTTTTCTTTAGACTTTCGATCTACACTTTTGGTTTTTAACATCTCTAGATGCCTTTTTCCAGATGGAGATTTTATGTTTAGATAATGTAAAAGGCCATCAAAACACCTTAAGCTATCTATTAGAGTGTGTTCCTCTCGAGTAATGGGTTTTCTAAAAGGCACCTATTTGCAAAAAATTACCGTAGTCAAACCGTTAGTCTACATTCGATCAGCCAGATTTTGGTCTCATTGACTGAGCCTTTTAATTCCTCATCTTTAAACATGGGCCTAACATCACGAAAGGTTCGGGGTATTTGATGGTCGATAACCACGAAATTTCATGAAAACTATTGCCAACCTCTGTTGTTCAGTTGGGATTGATTTCAGCGTTTTCGAAAATGTATAAGGTTCCACAAGCTTAGTAAAATCACTTTTAAACATAGGCTCTTAGCCAACTCCACCAGAGCATCATGTTGAAGACATGACCCTGCCTGTACATCTATATTGGGGATTCGATACATTGACTGATCCTCAGGATCTATGGGTTTAGTTTATCAAAAGAAGAAGTTTCTTTTTGAGGACAATCAACCCATAAGTTGAACTTATCAGATTGTTCAACTCTTTGAAGCATTATTAATAAACTGGAATTGCTCAAGGTTTTGTTAAAAAGATTATACGGATAATTAATTTATCAGATTTCTTTGTTGAATTTATTAGGTTAGTCAATTGAAAAGGCGATTTGTTCAAAAGAATTCCCCCAAAAGAATCCAGAAGTTAAGTTTATGTAGCGTAATAAACTTATTCTCATGTAACTGATAATTGTTCGAGACACAATTTATTTCCGTTGATAATACAATATATTTATACAATGTACAGTAGATGAATAGACAAGCATCTTTAGTTGTAGGCGAAGCAATCCAAGACAAGATCACTCTGAAAGCAGCTTCAATTATATTGATGTGACGTTTATTCTCACCCTAAAAACCTCTAATAACCTTGAGTAAGTCTAAGTTAAAATGAAACCCATATTTTTTCACTGACCACTCCGTTGAAGCTCCATTGAGATGCACCGTTGCACACAAACGGCTTGTATTTGCCGTTAGCGGTCGTGTCGTTGGCGCCCAACTGTAGATTTTCAAAATATTAAACAGATTCTTCTTCTTAAAACAGTGACGCCTGATAACTCTAAGAATTCCTAGTCCTTTGATGACTTACACAGGTGATGCCGACAATATTGTTGTAATCCAATACTTGAGTCATGTAGCTTGGACCGCCAGTGTACAGTTGGAAGCCGGCCTTGAAGGGAAGGAATGATATAATCATACAAATGTACTAGCTTATGTTTTTCTGGAGTATTGCTTTCTATATTTCTTCTTATCAAACCAACCGTTTGATAGGAAGCGTCGACTTTGCAGTACCAATCGGCGATCAAACAATTGCCATTGGCTGGGTCAGTTCTGGAAAGTATAGATGGTCTATGGGATATGGGGTTGCGCTCTCAGATAGATCGCTAGAAACTCCGCCATCGAGAATCGAGCATCGAATTGCACAAGAGTCAGATAAAAGTTTGCCAGAACTTTATCTTTTTGCGACAACTACCTAGCATAAATCGTATACCTGTAGGCAAAAGAGACCGTTCCCAGATCAGGATAGTACTGCTCGTTGAGTGTGTCCACGTTGCGGGCACACTGTTGACAAGCTGCGCCGGCTCCTTGAGCTGTAGTCGTTTTGACTGTGGTGACCGAGGATGGGGTTGTCGTGGCTCCACTTCCGCTTGCGCAGAGACCAGTGCTCGTCTGACATGTCGTCCCAGATGGACATTGAGAGCATGTGGTTCCCTGGGCATACGCCTGTTCGCCTCCCCAGTTTCCTCTGTAAAAATGGAGCTGAAATCCAGTTAGGTTCACTCACTGTTGATAGTATTGACAGACGACAATTGTGTATGATGTGAATCCAGTCGGACCATTCGAGCAAGTCGCATATCCACAACCAACGGTCCCTGTGGTTGCCCAGGCCATCTGAACGAGTCACCTTTGATATACAATGAATACCTTCTCACCTGTGTAGCATGTCCAGTCGAGTTAGTGCCCGAAGACCAGAAGACATAGCCTTTCGGTCCAAAATTGTAGAACTCATTAGCCCACGTATTGCTGGAATCAGCGCCTGAAAGGACTTGCTTATGAAGGAGATTCAGTGATCATTCGTGTCTACCTATTCCCGTGATAACACTGCTCGACGCGACGTAGAGATTCTCGCCGACTCCACTTATCTTCGAATGAGTCAGGAATGGACAAGTGGCCGCATAGTTCGAGGCACTTGTCGCCAAAGTCGAGTTCCATTGCTGAACACAATACATTGCAGCTGAGTATTCTCCCTGTATCTCTCTATTCCGTATTCACTCACAATCAACAGCATATTGGTGGCTGAAGCAAATGGTGTCCCATCTTTTGCTTTATACGTTCCTAAGGCCAACTGAGAACGGAATGAATTGTGGGCCTAAAGGGGAGGGATTTGAAAAGGAATTCGATTGAAAGGACTTCTTACATTAACAAGTCCAGTGATCTCAGCAGCGGGCAGGACAACCGCCGAAATACCTGGAAAGCATTGACTAGTTGCTGTTAGTTTAGCTTTCATATGCTTGCAGTCAAGAGTGCCAGACTCGTTTTAATCTCGTTTTATCTCAATAGTCAATATCTGAATACAAAAGATAACTACTGACCAGCAAAAAGAGCGCACAGAAGAGTGAATTTCATTGTCGAACGATGAAATGAATGAATCCGGGGATCCGTTGATTTGCCAGTCATTGTAGAGGGCTTTTATATGGGACAACTTCCCCTTTCAGATACAATAATAATACTTCATCTATAAATTAAAAATCGAACGGAAACAAAATGCTACAGATGCTATACGAAATGTATTAAACAAACAGACTTTTTTCATTAAAAGTTCAACTGTACACTTTACGGTTGATCCACTTTACACATTCACTCGCTCTCTTTATACCATAGAATCATGCTCAGAGAGGCAATCTTAAAACAATATTCTAGTCAAAGGAACATGTTCATTCGTTGAATCCTTGAACTAAATGAATTGTAATTTGGTAAAAGCAAAATAGTGTAGAGCAGAGTGTGTGTTGAAACTTTTGGGCACTACAGCAATTGGTTTGATAATTCACCAATCGGCTGGCCACTCTGATGCCTTGCGACACTCCGGGCCGTTGGTCTTTCGTCAGATCCGATTTTACGAATGTGTTTTTCCGTTTCTGCAAGAAATAAACGTTTAGTGCTTGAAATCGTCTCAGAAATGAAACGATACTTCATCCGGTACTTAAATTGAGAAAACAGTAGAACATTGGCATTGAGTGACAAAGAGAATACTGCCAAGGGTAATTAGGAAATCAAGGAAGAACGAGAACTACATGAATTTATAGAAATCGAAGAGTATAATAACAGTTGAAAGTGTAACCACACAAAACTTGATCTGAAATGGATGAACAGTGAATACGTGATAGAGACTATTCCTGAATGCATCCAGTTTCTGCTCAGAGATCACGGAACTCTGTGGTTGGAGGGGAATTGGAATAATAGCCCGTCTTCTCGATAAAAGTTTCCCCTTTCTTCGAATCAGCATCAACCCGCTGCAAACGTTCCCCAAGAAAAAAAATTCAAAACTGCCTTAAAGAAAAAAGAGTTTTGGCACCAGGAGTGCCACCAAAAGCCACTTAAAGCTTTTCTAAGGTTCAGTTTGAAAAGTAGCCTCGTTTTTCTTCTGTATACATATATATGTCATCGTAGGTTTCCATTTGGCACACTGGCTTGGAAATTTTTCTTTAGAATCTCATTGCTGGCTACAATTTTTGATCACCTTTTTTTCCTATTTCCATCAAAATAACCATTTGTTCATTTTTTTTGTTTAAACTTTGTAAATTTTAAGGATTTAACTTGAGTAATTAATTGAGAAACTCTGCCTTTGTTGGGTTATCTTTGAAATCAGATATTTTATTGAGAAAGAAATATGTTGATATGTTGAATAATGACCAGGAGTCACCAGGAGTGCCACCAAAAGCCACTTAAAGCTTTTCTAAGGTTCAGTTTGAAAAGTGGCCTCTTTTTTTCTTCTGTATACATGTATGTCACCGTAGGTTTCCATTTGGCACACTGGCTTGGAAATTTTTCTTTAGAATCTCATTGCTGGCTACAATTTTTGATCACCTTTTTTCCTATTTTCATTAAAATAACCATTTGTTCAATTTTTTTGTTTAAACTTTGTAAATTTTAAGGATTTAACTTGAGTAATTAATTGAAACTCTGCCTTTGTTGGGTTATCTTTGAAATCAAACATTTTATTGAGAAAGAATCGTTTCATAATTTTTTTTCAGCAACAAAATTGAGTCATAATATACGTGAGAATATGGAAAAAATAATGAGATAATGAACAGAAATTGTTTACAAAAAGATTAGTATTTATAGCTTTAAGAGATCTATTAAACTTATCAATGAGAAATATAGCTTTATCATTATTTAAACCTCCTCTTCATCCTCATTGATGAGCATTTGACGATCGATTTCGGTTGTATCCAAACCACAACAGTGGAAACAGCAACTAAAATAGAAATTCAGCAAAATTCAGATGAAAAATCGATTCTGATTTAGTAAATTGCTTTTGATATGTTGAATAATAGTTATACCTGGTCATTGGATTGTTCTCACTCATTCGTGGAATGAGATGTCGACGAGTGAACGGTCCAACAAGGATATCATTGTAGATGAACATTCCAAGGATTAGGAGAGCAAAGCCGAGAATCTGAAAGAAATAACTGTTTTTCTTTTAAGTTTAACAAACTCGACCTGCAGTGGGATGAATGTTTCCCCAAAGAATGGAATCGACACAACCCAGATGATCAATGTCCGCACCGAATCGAGAACCATCCTTGTCGTGGCTGAGAGCTCTTTTGTCACTGAAACACCTGCGAAGTTGAAGAAAGCGATGCTGAAATTGTTACTAGTTAGAGAGAGATTGTTACTAGTTAGAGAGAGATTGTTACTAGTTAGAGACAACATCTGCTATTGCCCAGCAATTGTTGGGCATACCACAACAAATCTCATCTTGGCCTCTTTCTCCGTTTTCTGACACTCACCTAATAATCGTTCCCACTAAAGCCACAGCAATTGTTGGGCATTCTCTGATTTCTTTCAAAGCAAAGAAAACATCTTCCAATCGGCCTTGTGGATTTGTTGAGAAAGTATTTGGCACGTGAATGAAATACATTGGAAACATCAACACACTCAAGATCATCATTCCAAAGAGTCCTGAAAAGTTAAAGACTTTTTTTGAATTTGAAAGCTCTTACTCTTTCTTAGCTGTAAAACTTCCCCACCTTCAAGTCCAACAGCGAACAGAGCTGGCACATTGTATTGATTAAGAAATTTCTGCTCGTAAACCATTTGTATAGCGACAATGATTTGAGCGGTGATGATGAGAAGATTTCCAGTGATCATTCCATTTGTATCATTTGTAGATGAATTTTCATAAATAATATCCGTCACTCCAACCACAACCAATCCCATCATAACAAAGAACATTCCAATCCATTTGAATGGTTGAAAGCGATAACCAAGCATTCCAACGGAGAGGAGACCCGTGAAAATAATGACAGCTCCTGGAATTGCTTTATCAGTAATATGTTAACTTTTTAGCTTTCTTTAAAAACCCTACCTCTCAACATTTGAAAGGAGGAAGCTGTTGTAAGATTGAGTCCAATATACATCAATGAAGTGGCAATGATATCACACAAAGCAGGCGGAAGGAAAACGAGTGGATTGAATTGAGGAAGAGATGGCTTCTCATCGAGCGAACCGATTCCTTCACCTGAATCTCATTTGAATTGATCTTATTATTAGATAAACGTTTGTAAAGCAAAAGCTTTACGAACCAGAAAGCTTTGAGCGATTCCATCTGTATCGTTTGATCATATAGATGATGAAGAAAGCCACCAAACACAAGAATTCACCGAAGAACATGCAGGTAGCCTAGAGTTTTTGAACTTTTTAGTAAAGAGCTAAATTATTGTTACTTGTAAGAAAGGATGATTGAAATTGACGGATTCTCCCGGTGGTTTTAAACTATCAGCCCATCTAGAAATAAATTAAAATAAAAAATAATGTCATTGACAAACTTTGCACAAATCGTATTTAATGATCCGGTGATCACCATCAAAATCGAGATCAATGCGGCAAAAGCACGTCGCTCAGTCATTGAAAAGTTAAAATCTAGTAAAGAAAAGTAAATGGATTGAATGATTGAGTGAAATGAAAACTAAAAGGATCGATTTTGAGTAGATCTGCTTTCCCAATGGCATTTGAGTTCCCAATTTATCTCTAATTACAAGAAATCTGTTAGACAATTACAGAAAGTTAACATCTGCTAGATTTTCGGTGTCTTTAATAACTAGTTTTGAAGGTTTTTAAGAAAATAGATGAATCTTTAAAAATAACAAAATTAGATCTTAAAAAGAAAAAATCAAAATTTCGCAAAATTTCGCGAAATTTTTCTTTTCAAACTTTCTACCCGAATTTAGTTACAATTGCACACAGAACTCTAATTTATTAACTCAGAAAAAGTCTTTTTTAAACAGGAAAAGACTCATTAAACTCTTTATGAGCTCTTCTCATAGAAAAATTAAGTAAGTACACTATAGAGACGGCGACGACTTCAACCCTGTAAACGTCGATTTAAAACGCATTCTCATTGATGAGCATTTGACGATCGATTTCGGTTGTAACCAAACCACAACAGTGAAAACAGCAGCTAAAATAGAAATTCAGCAAAATCTAGATGAAAAATAGATTCTCATAGAAAAATTAAGTAAGTACACTGTTTTGTTTTGTTTGTTATTAGTGTAGGTAAATATCTCTAGATGTTAAAAAAAAAAGACCTCAGCGTTGTCCATTTCGAGCATCATTCCCGTAATCTTTCCGGCATCGTTTCGACCGTTGTACATCTTGTCGATAAGGGTGTAAATACGCTCTCCAAGCATTTGCTTTTGTTCCTAAAATTTCATCAATCATTTACAGAGTCTCTTGACTCAAATGAGTCTAAGTTTCCAATATGTGATATCTCAAATGAGTCTAAGTTCCCGATTCACAAACCTGTGGAGAGACGGCGACGACTTCAACCCTGTCGAACTTCAACCCTGACGACTTCAACCCTGTCGATTTAAAGCGCATTTCCCCGAGCTTCCACTATGAAATTCGTAATCTACATATAAAATTGCTCTAGAAAAAGCACTTTTGAAGAAAACAAATCTACAAGTAAAGCATTCAAAAATTCTCTTTAGTCGACTGGATCAGATTCTGTCCAAAGCTGTAATGTTTCAACTGGACCGAAGCTATCTTTTAACGCCTTTTCTTTTCCCTTTCTTTAAGCCCGGGATGGGTGAACGATTCTTCAAAATCAAGCAAATCTATGTCTCAAAATCTTTTCCATTTCACAATAGTCTATTTCCTTTGTGCTTTCGAAGGTTTTCGATAATTTGTCCATGAAATAGACTTTTTCACTCTTTCCAAAGCTTATTATTCCCCTCTCCTCTTTCCTTTCAAAAAATCTTTCAAGCAGGGCTGCAGTAAAATCAATTTTAGGTAAGATCTTGCAGATAAAGTCTGAAAAAACCTTCTAAATCACTTATTGTTTTTAAAACCTATCAATCATTTTATGACGTCTTTTTGATTGTCGAACTTTTCGACAAATTTTCTGAATCAACTTATTTTCAACTTTTCAATCAACTTCTAAATCATTTATTGTTTTCAAAAAACCTATCAATCATTTTATAATGTCTTTTTGATTGTCGATTTGATTGTCAATTTGGTTATCGATTTGATTGTCGATTTGATTGTTAAACTTTTCCACAAATTTTCTAAATCAACTTATTTTCGACTTTTCAATCAACTTCAATCACTTATTGTTTTTAAAATCTATCAATCATTTTATAATGTCTTTTTGATTGTCGATTTGATTGTCGATTTGATTATCGATTTGATTGTTCAACTTTTCCACAAATTTATTTATTTTTACTGGTACGATTTTTTGAATAATTTTAGAGAATATTAGAAAAAGAAAACAAATTAAAACCAACAAAAGCAAAAATTTTTTTGGGATGACAGAATAGAATAGAGAAGAAATTAAAGAGAGAGAGGAAAAGGAAATGTGGAAAGAAAGAGAAAAGTGATGGAATCTTTTGTTTTTTTCTCGATGTTGTTGTTGGTGTTGTGTTGACCTGAAATGATAAAGTATAAGAATTTTAATGAACAGCACTATACTATATATTATATTTAATTGTAAATCTTTAAAAAAAACTGACCGCTTTACTTGGGCATTTGGTTTTGCTGAGCCTGTTGGAGGACATTGGCAGCCTCGCCGACCTGAAAATTTGTATTTTAAGAAATCTTCGCTACAGCTACTATTATTTTTATTTAAAAGCTATTTTAGAGCACTTATCTACACTTGTCTAGTATACTTTTTATTCAAAATTTCAAAAACATTCTTTCTAGTACAGTTTTTTCGTTATCAGATTGAAAAATGACGAATCTCAGTGCATTAGAAAGAATACATTTTCATTTTTCACACAAAATTTATACTTGATTGAGTACTTTGTGCTCAATATATGTAAACTCAGTGCACCAGAAAGGTGATGTTTCTATGTTCCGAGTACGTATACTTGTCAATTTCACAAACCTTTTGACGGAAGAGCTCGTCGTCTTGCAACATCATGATCAACTAAAGTTTTTGATTTTTTTTGTACTATTGTTTTACTTATTTTTGTTTGTTATTAATGTAGGTAAATATCTCTAGATAATGTTTTTAAAAAGACCTCAGCGTTGTCCATTTCGAGCATCATTCCCGTAATCTTTCCGGCATCGTTTCGACCGTTGTACATCTTGTCGATAAGGGTGTAAATACGCTCTCCAAGCATTTGCTTTTGTTCCTAAAATTTCATCAATCATTTACAGAGTCTCTTGACTCAAATGAGTCTAAGTTTCCAATATGTGATATCTCAAATGAGTCAAAGTTCCCGATTCACAAACCTGTGGAGAAGCTTGTGCGAGAGCATGAGACGAGAGTGGCTCTTGTCCTCCAACCACGATATTCTGTTGAGGAGTTGGGCGAACAGCTTGCGCGTATCCGGCTGGTGCACGTTGTTGTGGGACTCCACGTGGAGCGACGCCTTGTTGTTGATATCCTTGCGGCGCGCGTTGACCAGTAGGGGCGGCTCCTGGACGGCGTTGTTGTTGGTAGCCTTGCGTTTGGACGAGGTAAGGAGCTTGTCCAAAGGTTTGTCCAGGTAATCCAGCAGCACTCCAGCGTTGAGGTCCACGCATGGCGGCAGCGGGCATTCCACCTCCAGCCATGAAGTTGCCGCGTTGGTTCTAGAAATTGCAAATTTTTTTAGTATTCTGTCTGCCTAGAAAGCTGATAGAGTGATAAAAATCTTTTTAAACTCACTGGAAGAGCGCTTCCGACAAAGTATCCTCCATTTCCGGCTGTGTAGATGTTGGTGGTGGGCATTGGTCCAGACATGCGCATGCTGGCGAGACGTTGCATGTATTGAGAGGCGAGTTGAGCACGACGATCGTCCTACAAAAGAGATTTTAACGTTTTTAATCAATAGATGAGTACTTTCTGCTAAAAATCTGTGTAAACATATCTAGAGATTCATTATCTAAAGTTTGACAAACCTTGCGTTGAGCAAGTGCCACATAGAGAGGTTTGGAGCAGATGATCTTTTGCGTTCATCTCAGTGACAGCCTTTGTAGCCTCATCAGGCTTCTCAAAGCATACAAAACCGAAGCCTTTCGAGCGCCCGTTCTCATCAGTCATCACCTGAAAATGTAAATTAAAATTCCATCATAAATTCTTGCGATGAAAATCTGAATTTCGTTTGATTTTTGATCTTTTGAAATGTCTTTGATTCAGATCTTAGCCTCGTGGTTTCTAAAGTTTCCCAGCTTCAGCGCTTGCCCATTTTTGGCGAATCCCAATGTTTGAATCGTTTCTGTGTCTGTGTTCGAGTCACGTTTTCCCCCTCTCTATTGACTTCTCCTTTGTGTGTGCCCCTACATGTCAGCACATACCGTTAGTCGAATGTCTTTTTCTCTATTTCTTTCTCTTTTATCAAATCCCAATCTCTCTCAATTTTCTCAATCTTTTCTCGAACCACGAGTCCGGTTCTGACTCCCCCTTTTGCTCTGTACTGGACTGCTCCCCCTTTTCCCTTCATTTTTCGATTCCCCTCAAACTATAGCTAAAAATTGAGATGATATAAACACCATTCATTTTTCAGACGATTGAATGGGACAAGAGAAAAAGGATTGCTTACCTATTGTCCCTAAAAAAGCTTTTCTATTGTCAAAGTTAAATAAATTTTTGAAAACAAGATATTCTGGCAAAATTATGAACCAAAATAGATTAAAAATAACTAGATTTTTCAATTTTAATGTAAACTTTAAAGATATAGTCAAAAACCTAATAGAACTTAGCTAAAGAATTAGAATTTGATAGAATTCCTTAGCTAAAGTTTACTTAACCTTTTTAACTGAATAACATAAGATTAAAGCATTTATTGGGTTGGGGAGAATGAGTCGGCGCCGAAAATCAAAAAAATGTCTAAAACTTCTATTCGACTTCGTCAAATAATATGCGTTTGATATCAGTAGAATGGTTAACTAATTCTCTACAAAATGACATTTAAAAGAAAATTCAAACAGCGCCTCCGCTCAAGAAAAAGCCATTTTTTCACAAAAACTACAAACTGTGATCTAGAAAAAACCATTGGTGGGATCTTCCTGCAAATTTGGCAACTTAAGTAATTGAATGTGCTCTATCTTTTTTATATAAACACCAAAGAAGGTTTATGTGAAAGAAACTGTTCAAATGATGAGTCGGACTCTCTGCCATTTTAACCAGCTGCGTTTGGAAGTTCATAAACTCCACGAAAGAAAAGCTTTGTGGAATCTCTCAAAAGTCATTTTGTAGAGAAATAGTGGATCCTTTTGACGAAACCAAACGTATGTTTAAAGAAGGCTTTATGTGTGCAAAAGGTCCCTTTAAAGTTTGGCGCCGACTCATTCTCCCCAACCCAATATAAACTTATGTTTCTAAAACCCCCATTCCCAGCCAACCCCCAAAGTTGATCGAGATTTTCGTTCCACTTGTTCACCCCTTTTCCCCCTTATCAAATCCCCATGTTTACCAGTTTCCCCTTTTCCTGTCTATTTCGAAATCCTTTTCCCAATCAATACCTTGGCTGAGGTGATCTTTCCGAATTCCTCAAAGCTCTTTCTCAATGTCTCATCATCGACCGAATCATCCAAGTTCTTCACGTAGAGATTCACTCCTTGATAGCGTTGCATACGCTCAGCTTTCGCCATCTCAAAGCGTCTGAAAGAAAATGAAAGTTGTGACGGGGGTTTTCAGTTTCAAGCATCGGGAAAGATCTCTAGGAATGATCTTTGTACTAGTTAGTTACTGTTTCACAGTTTATTTCCTAAAAGATCTTATAAAGTTCAAGTCTTTTACTTCACTAAAGTACTGGAGAGTTTTTCTTTTCTTTAATGATGTTAAAAGATGTTCAGCCTTGTTCCCTGAATAACTTCGCTTTGGGCTAGAATAGTAAGATAAAATTCTTAAACTTTACAACATCTTTCACTTCTTTTCTAGTTGAAAATTTATAATTTCAGCTTTTAAGCAACAATTTGGTCATTTTCGGTGATTCAAATTGAAAAGCTCTTATTTGTACAGCCTTTTCAGCTCTTTTTAAAAGCAATATGAATGGACGGAGCTATAATGCGATTGTGAAACGCAATATAGACTTGGAGAATTGATATACAAATATATATATTTCAATACAAAATCGAATTTTCTACCTCTTGAGCTCAGCAGATCGTTCTCCTTTCTTCTGAGCACGGCAAACGAAGAGCTTCTTGTCGGATCCTTCCAAAGCGAACTCGTTCAAAGCATCAACAGCCTGAGATTTTCATTTATCAATGTAAATTTAGTATTGAATCTGGTTTTTTAACTTTTCAAGCAAATAGCTCAGCTTTTAGCTCAATAACAAGTAAGTTTACTGTAAAAGTTGCTGACTAAACTTACTGTAGAAGTCTAACTGCCTAACCCATACAATAAAGAGTTGTGTGAATTCCATAAGCTTTGCTATTTCTTATAGTAAGCTTACAGATCTAATTTAGTAGTTGGACATTTTTCTTACAAGTACTCTCCCCCACCTTCTCGGCATCTTCAGCCTCTTTAAATGCGACAAATCCGAATCCCTTGCTCTTTCCCTCAATGTCCGTCATAACAGCGCTCGAGCTGATCTCTCCATATTTTGCGAAGAGTTTATCCAATGTATCCTGGTCAAGATCTTCTCCAAAGTTCTTCACGAATACATTGGTGAACCGCTTGCCCGACTCGCCGATCTCTTTGGCACGAGCAGCTCGAGGTTGGAATTTACCGACGTACCTGAATAAAATACAGTAAGATTGGTCTGAATTAAGTTAAGAAACGTACACTTGTTTTCCAGCGAGAAGCATTCCATTAACTTTCTCAATGGCTCTAGTTGCAGCGTCCTCGGTCTCGAAATGCACAAAGCCATAGCCCTTCGATTGTCCCTCATCATCGAGAGCAACCTGGAATAGAAATAATTACACTTTAATGTTATAAATAAAGATCTTAAGTATTGTATTCGTGTAATAAGTAGCTAATATTATAAGTTATCCAAACTTAGTTACTCTTGGATCCATTAGGATTGAGTAATAAAAAGATGAAAGCTGTTTTAAAATTTCTTATTTCCTGAGTTTTTAAATGATTACCTTGCACGAAAGAATGTTTCCGAAAAGCGAGAACGTATCGTAGACAGCTTTGTTGTCAATGGACTTGTCAAGATTCTTGATGAAGATGTTTCCAGCTCCAGAGCGACGAGTAGATGGATCACGGTTGGACCACATAATGCGAATCGGCTTTCCATTGAGTGCGTCGAAGTTCATCGTGTCGAGAGCACGTTCGGCTGGAATTCGATTGCATTTAATCACTTACAAGTCAAGTTTACAAGTCCTGCTTTCTATAAAAGTTTTAAGTTCTTAAACTAGCGTAAGAAGTCATGAAAAATTCATAGCCTTTTACCTACCATCAGCTGGTTGTTGAAAGTTGACGTAGGCGTAGCCAAGCGAGCGGCGAGTGATCGCATCACGGCAGACACGAATCGAGAGAACCGGGCCGGCAGTGGAGAATTTGTCGAAGAGCATCGACTCGGTGACTTCAGGATGGAGATCACCCACGTAGAGTGAAGCCATCGAGTAAGAAGTGGCTCCAGTTGGTGGGACTCCTTGTTGCATCACAGCGGCGGCCATTTTTCACTTTTTCTGAAAACACAGAGTTGAGTAAGGCTTTGTAAGGTTGTAAAGTTAAAGCTAGAAATGATTGACTATGATCTACAGTAAATAGCTGTTGAATTAAAGTAGAGTAAACCATAAAAAATGGCTATAACATTATTGAAAGGCTATAAAAATCGATCTGAAAATAACAGAAAGCTTAATGGAAATGATTATATCTTCAATTCTTCAATTAGACAATTCTTCAATTAGCCATTAGCGTTTATAAGAATGCATATAACCATCATTTCGTAATTGTCTTATTCATTTTCTAGATCAATTATTTGACTCTAAAATTGATCGATTACTTAAAGAAATTATTCTTAAACAATTCTGATTAAGAATAGTATCATAAAAAATGATTTTTTCGTTAAAACAAAACTATTGCGAAATCAGCTATCATTTGCCAACAAAAATTTCAACGAAATCTTCGAATTTAAAAAGTTAAACTAGATATTTATTTCAATTTTTGATAAGAAACCAACCTTTTTCTTGAGGAAAGAAGCACAGAATAGGAATAGAGTTTTTTTCAGTCAAAGAAATCCTTGCAAAGTTTTAGAAGCGACTTTGCACGGGGTTTTTCAAAAGGCTTTTATGCTTTTTTTGGGTTTTTTAAAAGTTTTTATAAATTTTTTGGGGTTTTTGGCGAAATTTTGCAAAGGCAAGTGTGTGACCCGGTTGGGGACTGAGTCACGGGGAGGTTCGTCGAGAGGGACGATCGGCGAATGCAAAGAATAGGCGAGAAAAATCAACGAGATTTCCCCAAACCCCGCCCACCGCGACGCTTTCTGCGAGCGTTGCGGCAAAGCGGGAATTCGAATTTGTGCCCTTTTTTTAGGTCACTGGCAATAATATTTTTGATTGCCAATGGTCAATGAGCACAATGTTTGGCATGTCTAGGAGGCTCAGTTCTTTGAAATCAAAGTTTTTATGAAGAATCTGTTTCTTGGGGCACTAGGAAAGCTAAAAGAGATTAAACTGGTACAACTGGTTAACTGGTAAACTGGTTAACTGGTACAACTGGTTAACTGGTAAACTGGTTAACTGGTACAACTGGTTAGCTGGTACAACTGGTTAACTGGTGCAACTGGTTAACTGGTACAACTGGTTAACTGGTGCAACTGGTTAACTGGTACAACTGGTTAACTGGTACAACTGGTACTATTGTTATTAAGACTATAAAGCTCAATGCATTAAGTAAAATAAAAGAGGAAAGAGGGAACTTTAAAGATATTCAGTCTTGTTAATTGAATACTTTCATTCCAGAATAAGGAAATGTATCTTAAGCAGTCGGATAGGACGGATAGGAATGGCCAGACTAGTGCTCATTCAAGGACTTGTTAAATGAGTTGCATAAATCCGATTGAAAAGTTTTTGGTAGATAAATGTAGCCAAGATTAAGGGCTACAATTCTTTATATAACACTTGAAATTTTGCAATAAATTAAGCGTACTACTTTTCCAAAAAGTTGTCCGGGTAATTTTGCCCAACCCTGTAGCTATTAGTATCATTAAAGTCCGTCTCGTGTAAGTGTCGTTGCGTTAAAAAGGATATTTAATTTACTAACTCTAATAGTAAGAGCTATGAGTAAACTTGGCTTCGGCACATATAGATTTTATTGTATTAGTATTGTTAAATCAAGTCTAATAGTAAGCTAAATACACCGTTTCCCCTTTCCATCAAGTCGAGAATCAAAACCAATAAGAGGATCTAGTTTTGAACTGCTTAAGATACATTTTCTTATTTCGGAATGAAAGTGAAAGTATTCAATCAATAAGACTGAATATCTTTAAAGTTTTTCCCTCTTTTCTTTTGTTTACTGCATTGAGCTTTATAGTCTTAATAACAAATTTGGCAATAGCTTATTTATTTGAAACACATAAACACAAACAACTCCTTGTAAACTCTTGTTTGTTTTTAAGCCAAATCAACAGTTTGAAAGTCTGTGAAAACATGATTCATTTTCAAATGCTCTGCTTAGTGCAATTATTTTTGACAAATCTTTATGATCGCCAATGGCTCTAGGAAAGAGAACTTAAAATCGCCTGGAGATACTATAGAACACTGGAAAACTGAACAGATGTTTACTTATAAGAATTGTATGCATTTTGGCAGTAAAAGAATTGGCACAGGAAATTCCCAATTGATGACTAAAAAGTTTTCCCATTAAGCCAGCCCATTTTCTAGAAATTTATGAGCTTATTGAAAGCTTTCAAAATAGAAAAAAGTTTATTGTTTACAGTTCGATCAATTTGAATTCAAAGCTTTAATGCAGAAAGGATTTAGACAAAAGTCAGATGAATTTCTTGCAAATGAACCAATGATGAGCCTCAGCGTCGGGCTTATTGAGACGATACCATTTCAGTTGAGTGTCTTGCGCAGTTGGGTAGATCTAAAGTCTTGTAGTAGTCATAACTGTAGATACTGTAGATACAAATGTGCCATTTTTCTAGAGATAGATTTCTAAAAGTGGGCACTTTTTCGAAAACACATTCCTTGAGAGGAACACTACTTTTTCTACACAGATAGGATTAAATATTATTAATAACAATTTTGGCAATATTTATTTTAAACGCATAAACACAAACAACTCCTTGTAAACTTGTAAACAAACTCTTGTTTGTTTTTAAGCCAAATCAACACCGCCAGTTTGAAAGTCTGTGAAAACATGATTCATTTTTGAATGCTCTGCTTAGTGCAATTATTGATAAATATACATATTCTTTTGTTTTTCCCCTACCATTGCCGCTTGGACACCATTTGTCCCTATCCAATTCATGTAATTGAATTTTGTCCCATCAGTCCACTGCCAAATTTTTGTTGATGAGTTTTGCTGTAAAAAAAAAGGATTACGATAAGAAAACTGTACATATAAAAGTTTATTCAAATTAGATTAGTAATAAAGAATTGAAGAAATTGGGAAAAAAAGTACTCCTCAATCTTTTGATTTTGGCAATTGCTTTAACCACTGAGCTCCGGTGGCTTAACTTGCTGAGAGAAATGCTCTAATTGTAATGCTCTAATTGTAACCCACTTTTGCTCCAATCCAGTAGTAAACAATCGTGTGATGTTGAGCTGCTAAGCCTAAAGATTGATGTGAAAGATCGAAAAATATTAGCCAACTCCAAACAAAACGATTTTCTTCAGCACTGTGAATGGATACAAGATGAGCTCCAGTCAATGCACAGTAATCCTCGGCTTCTTGCAAAGTGACACTTTCGTTGATCACCTGTACTTATTTGTTTGCTATTATAATATTCTTAAGCTAGCCTATAACTAGACTAAAGGCTATAGGTAGAGCTGATTCAGAAAAGCAGAGATAAATCTCGTACAAATCCTGATACTACTTACAATACCCTGTCTATTACATTTAACTAAAGTTCTCCTTTGCACTCACCGTGTAGCATGCTTCGGTTTTCATGAAAAACGTCCATCCAAGTGGGCACGATTGAGCCTTGAGGAGAAGATCCCTAAAGATCCCTGTTTAGATTATTTTTCTGAAAACTTTCAAAGCTTTTAAGATAATTAAATGTCAAAAAAGGCTGGCAGTTATTACGATAGTTTTTTAAAGTTGGAAAACTCGATAGAAACATCTACTCTATAACTGCTTACAATTAGTTTTTTTCACCTACAATTTCTCCTCGATACTTTTCAAGTTTCCATCAGAAGTAGAAGTCCTTTGGTGTTTTCGGATTCTGAATGAAATATTTAAGTGACAATTCTATCAAGCTTACCTTGCATCAACGAAGACAAGGACGAAAAGGCAAAGAAAAAGTCGGATCATCGGAGAAGTGGTTGCTGAAAAAAAACTCCAAGTTTTCATTTAGAATTTAGCAGAATGCAAAGAGTGTTTCTAACTAGTGTTTCTAATACGAGAGCCACGGGCCTTTGCAAAATCATTAGTGGCGTAGTGGATAGTGTACTCGCCTCCAGAATTGCTTGGCCGATTGCCAGTTCGCTCCCGGTATACTTTTTTTTCCTTTTTTAAGAAAATGATTAGAAAATTTGAATGTATTTCACTATTTTGTGGAATTCAATTCCATTCCGCGTATTGAATTCCACTATTTTTGCATAAGTAGTCCATGAAATCGTAAACAATGTTCACATTTATGTTCGTAAATCATTTCTAAACATTCTTCCGTTAATCAAAGTCAAAATAAATCAATCCTGATGCCATAAACATTTTCTCAAAAAGAATATACCGGGAACGAACTCGAACCCGGCCAAAAAAAAATTCTGGAGGCTAGCACACTATCACTTCACTGCGCCACTAGCTTTCTATCTAAGGAAGAGAGAAAAAGCTTAAAAAGAATCCAAAAATCGGCCTAAACTTTGATGTCAGATATCTCGCTTTACAGAGTTCCATTGAAAAAAGTAAAAGCATATTCAGAATCAGCATATCCGACACTATAAAGCTCCGTGGTTCTCGTATTAAAAGACCACCTTGACCAGGTGCCTTTCCTTAGTAAGAGCAAGAAAGCCAAAAAAAACTTTTCCCAACTCAAGATTAAGACCAAAGCTAAAGAGTTTTCTGATCTCGCCTCAGGTTCTAATGGTGCAAAATGGTTTTTAGTTCGAATGGGTGTGACCCCCACCTGTCACCAGTCTATTATCACTCCTCGAGGGTAGGTCAGATCTATTTCCCGCCATTGCCTCGGGAGAAAAGTCGCAGCTTTGCGCTCAAACTCTTTTGCATGGTTGATTCAAATCATTTTGAACTAATTAGATTCCAAACGGGTGTAAAAGGTGTTAACGATAGTGTATTCCAAATCGAATGTTGGGTTTTCTGAACATATTCGCGATGGTGGTATTTTGGGGGTACGATACCTGTTTTACTGATAATTTGATGAAAATTCCAAATAAACTAAACTAGCATTATAATCATTCAATACCCCTGAATCTCCTGAAAACTAGTATAAAGTTACCAAAGATTTTCTGCAAAATAAATAACAAAAGTCCTTAAAAACTTGAGTTGGCACGAAAAATAATCGTCATTAGTACAACCAAAAGATGTTCTATCATTGTGAATTTGTTAAAATAGCACAAATAAAGAGTGGGGAATCAATACTGCAATGTTAGCTGTGTTCGATGAAGAGGGATTAACTTAAAGACCTCAAGAGGGTTTAGTGGCTTATGTGATGTAGGAAGAAAATCTAAAAAGACGCTTAAAATGGATTTATGCAATGTGATTCTTGAATTTTTGGCTTTAATTCAACAAATTCGCTTTCACACTTTGCAGTAAAAACAATTTATTCGAAAGCTTCATTCGACTTTACAAAGCTGATTTCTTGCAGATGAACGCCTTGTCAAAAACGGGTTTATTAGGAGATTCTCTTCCTTCGGATCGAACTTTATAAAGATTCCAGAGTCTCTCACCAAATGGAGTCCAATTGTAGCCTCTGTGAGTCTAAAATAAGTTATATGTAACTTTATTTTTTACCGAGTCAAGAAGGGCAGTACATGACCGTCAAAAACTGAACAAAACGATCGATTTCAATCATTTCCTTTACTTTTTGGTTCCTGAAATTCCATCATAGACTCTCCAGTGTGTACTTTATGCTCAAATTTTGTGAACACATCTTTCTAGTGCACTCAATTCTTCATTTTTCTTGTAGCGATGGTCTGATTCTACGAGAAACATGACGAATCGAGGTGTAATTAATTTTGAAATCTATTTCACTTTTTACTTATCTTTACATACGTGAGCATCTTGGCCAGATCCTGTGTTTCCGGGGCCTAAAACTGATCGAGTCGAGATTCCCCAATTCGTGTAGTTGACCTCAGTTTGACTAGTCCACTCAAAGCTGTGTGTCTCGTTGTTTTCGTTTTGCCTTTTCTAATATCATTTCTTAAACCGATGAAAACCTCGCCTGAATACTGATTGTGTTGATGTGCAAGCTCTAGATTTGTTTGAGGTTTATGCTAAAACTGTGTTGAGAGCAAGTTCAACTAGCTTTTGGAAAACTCACTCCAAACAAATCTGTCTTCCTCACGACTGTGAATTGAAGCAAGATGACCGCCCTCTGACACACAGTATTTCTCGGCCTCGTCGAAAGTCTTAACCATTTCGAAAACCTATTGGGTTGGGGAGAATGAGTCGGCGCCAAACTTTAAAGGGACTTTTTGCACACATAAAGCCTTCTTTAAACATACGTTTGGTTTCATCAAAAGGATCCACTATTTCTCTACAAAATCACTTTTGAGAGATTCCACAAAGCTTTTCTTTCGTGGAGTTTATGAACTTCGAAACGCAGCTGGTTAAAATGGCAAAGAGTCCGACTCATCATTTGAACAGTTTCTTTCACATAAACCTTCTTTGGTGTTTATATAAAAAAGATAGAGCACATTCAATTACATAAGTTGCCAAATTTGCAGGAAGATCCCACCAATGGTTTTTTCTAGATCACAGTTTGTAGTTTTTGTGAAAAAATGGCTTTTTCTTGAGCGGAGGCGCTGTTTGAATTTTCTTTTAAATGTCATTTTGTAGAGAATTAGTTAACCATTCTACTGATATCAAACGCATATTATTTGACGAAGTCTGCTAGAAGTTTTAGACATTTTTTTGATTTTCGGCGCCGACTCATTCTCCCCAACCCAATAGAAATTTTTTTAGTTGGCCAGCCTGATCAGGCCTGTGTTTCCGGGGCCTAAAACTGATCGAGTCGAGATTCCCCAATTCGTGTAGTTGACCTTAGTTTGATCATTTCACTCAAAGCTCTGTGTCTGATTGAGCCGCTAGAATGAGATTCCTAAATGCGAATTTTAAACTAACAATTCTATTAGTATTAGGACTAAAATATGAAACAAAGATCAAAAGATTATCACAAATCTCACAATTTTTCTTCAATTTTGTCCAATCTCGCATCACCAACCTCTTGCGTATGACTAAAATTGAACTTTTAGAGCAACATCCGAATTTTTTCTTACACTTGGAGTCCAAATATGAATAGAATTGATAAGGTGGTTAAAATTTTTAGAAGAATCATTGTTACCAACAATCTGACAGAGCCCAGACTTTGTTACTGATCTTTCGCGTGTTTAGATTTCGATAAACAATGAAGGTGAATCAATTTTCAAGCCACACGAGCTTCCAAGGATAAAAGGTAAACTCTTAACCTTCAGTAGACTGAGTTAAAGATACTGTCAAGTCCCATTTGTTTGTATCCGTCAGATGATTTTCACAGACTGTTGAAGCCAACAGTAAATGATGTCAAGGCAAATGGCACGAAAACAATTTATTTGATCACAATTAAGATGCCGCAATTTCGTTTCCTTTGAAAGACACATTGTGAGCGATTTTCTAAAATGAATTCGATTTAAGAATCGATGTAAGTTTGAAGTATACCTCAAAAATCCACTTTAACTTAGGAAAAACTACAAGCTGGCTATTATTTTAAAAACAATACCAAACCTGTTGTTTCGTGACTTTGATCGGCTTGCAGAGGATGCTCTTGCGTTCGGGCCGACTCCTGAAAAATAAAAAGTTGAAAATAACAATACCAATTATTTTTAGAAACTTATAAAAAAGTAAACTAACAATAAATCATAAAAAGAACAAATCAACTTACGTAGCAGCTCCGATCGGCACGTAAATTTCCTGTGTATGGGGCTCGGACGTTGATTTGAGCAATCTAAAACAATGCAGATAATTAAAACAAAAGAATTCTAATTTAGAACAAAAGTTTATTATATAACAGATCATACCTGTAATCTACATAAAGTAATAGATTATTTAAAACATAAAAAACTAACGGTTCATTGGCTGTCTTCATTTCGGTCACCGATTCCTTTGAGCTAGCTGCATTCACCGTGTTGTCCGATTTGTCACTGAAAAGTAGAGAATTAGAATAGTATTTGATAGAAGACCATTTTTCTAAAGAATTGGGCTCGTTTATGAACAAAATTCGTGCAGATTCACGCAAATAGATACCACAATTACATAAAATGTTCAAGGCAAACTTTTTCCGCATACACCTAACAGTAATAAAATTCATCATAACTAGGAAAATTTTTAAACATTTATAAAAACCTACTCATTTTCCGAATTCGCTTCTGCATCCAGTTCGCTTCCTACTTTTTCGTCTGATGGCTAAAGAAAAGAATGTTTAAACAGAAAGCCTAGACTTTAAAAGAAACCGTCGTGAGTTTGCTACTTTGTTACGACTGTCGCCTTCTAGCAAAACATAAAACACGTCTGATTGAGCGTTCCTTTTGTATTGGGTCGGTACGGACACTCTATGATTCGCTTACCGAGGGAACTGGTCGATCCTGCGAGTTCTCCTCATCCTCGACACGTTCCTTTTCTGACTAAAGTTAAAAAGTTAGACAAGCAAACATCTTGATAGTAGATACATTAACAATTTAACCAGAAAAAGAAGTATTTCGGCCCAAATATGTCCTCAAATCTAACTATAGGACTCATGTAAACTGCTAGACATTGTAATAAAGATATTATTAGGGGTTTGCAAAAGAAACTGCGCATGACTTTCCGGAACAATATTTTCTCTATTTGAAAGTGCTCTAACCGAGTTTAAATTTTATTCTATTGTGTTGATAACGCTTATTTATTTTACTGATTTTCACATTTGTTTGACCATTGAATTATAAATAATTTTAGTTGTCGAAGATGACGAATCAAAAATTCGTTTTGCGGGCTTGCCTTCTCTGGCACCGGAATCTTTGTGAAGCATTTGGAGAAAATGTTTTGAGTGAAAGAAGTTGTCAGGAATGGTTCCGGCGTTTTCGTGAAGGAGATGAGGGCTTGGAAGACGAGCCCCATGGACATCGTCCTGTTGTCCTCGATAATGCGGAGTTGCTCGAGGTTGTCGAGTCGGATCCAACTCAAACTTTGTCCGAATTAGCCGAATGCTTTAAATGCGATAAGAGCACAATTTCCCGACACCTTTTGCTTATTGGAAAAAGGAATCGTTGTGGCCAATGGGTCCCACATGAATTGTCGCCTGAAAACAAAGCCAATCGAGTTTTATTGTCTCGGATTTTATTGAAAAAGGCTACGGGCAGTGCTTTTTTTTGAAAGCATGTTGACGATGGACAAAAAGTGGATATATTTCAATAATTCAACACGCAAAAGACAATGGTTGAGCAAAGGAGAAAGGCCGATTCCGACATCACATCCAGAACTTCACAGAAAGAAAGTTATGCTGTCGGTCTTTTGGAATATGAAAGGAATCGTTTATTTTAAACTACAAAAATCTTCAAAAACTATAACTTCTCAAAGCTACGCCGAACAGCCGAAGAAAGCTGATGAAATTCTACGAGAAAGAGGTGTTAATCCAAGGACAATCCATTTACTCGCTCACAATTTCCGGGTACACACATCAAACTTGGCTCAAAACACCATAGAAGAATTAGGCTGGAAACTTGTGCCTCATCCGCTCTATTCGCCTGATATCGCTCCCTCAGATTACCACTCGTTCCTGTCTATGCAACACTCTCTTGCAAAGCTAAAGTTTAACAATCCTGAAGAAGTCGAAATTTGGGCGCAAGACTACTTTGCATCGCGGGACCCCGAATTTTTCGAATCAGACATCCGAAGTCTACACAAAAAATGGAAAAATATAGTTGATAATTTTGGCGAGCACCTTTTGGAATAAAGTCTTTTATTATTAATTTTCGAGGTGTTTGAACGTTGCGTATAATACGCAGTTTCTTTTGCAAGCCCCTAATATTTACAGCTAAAATCCTAAAAACCAACAATGCTTCTAAGCTAAATACCTTTGAGAACAAGATACACTGTGGTGCAAAAGTCTTATCCCACTTACTTTTCTGAAACATTTTGTCAAAATTCTAAAAATTTTCGAAAACAACTTTTTAAGTAATGGGTTTTTTTAGTAGCTTATCCCTTCATCTTTTACTATGTAAATGCCCGTACTCCAATATTTTGTTGTTTTTAAAACCTTTTTTTTTCGTAAAACTTGAGAAAAAAAAGGCGGTGCAAAAGTCTTGTCTCACTAAGAAAATTTGTATTTTTTCTTCCCCTTTGTTTGTTCTCATGAATTTTTTGTATTATCTTTTTATTTTTAGATGTCGACTCGCAAATATTTATCAACTCCTGATAAGCAAAAGATCGTGCAAGCAAAGAAATATGGATATTCATCACCGTCTATTGCGATGCTCTTCCAATGCAATAAAAGGAAATAGAAGGCTAGCAGCAAAATCGGAAGCAGGCCAAAGTTTTCATAAAGCTTCGAAAAGTGGTCGTCCACCGATTACAACAAAAACTGAAGATCGAGCACTTATCATTGACCATAGAATCGTCCCGGATCTGACTTCGAGCCATGGAGTCATGAAGTTGAAGGCCCTGTCCAAAAACTCAGAAGCTGAGATATGATTTTGCAAAGAACTACGAGTGTTGGACTTCCGATGACTGGGCCCGAGTCATTTTCACTGATGAGCCTAGAATTAGTTTATACTACCCGGACAGTACCCATCTAATCAGGAGACCAATTGGACAACGTTATAAGCTCAAATACGTTAAGCCAACGGTCAAATTCGGTGGTGGGAGCATTATGTTGTGGGGTAAGTGTTCGCCCTATTTTTCACTTACGATTTGTCTTTTTTAGGCTCGATGAATTGAAGTGTACCGGGACCGCTAGTGTTTATCAATGGAAATCTCGATGCTCAAAGGTACAAGTCAATCATAGAGAACAACTTACTTCCATTTGCAAACACGAACGTGCCACAAGGATGGGTCTTATATCAAGACAACGCTCCATACCACAAAAGCCAGCTAATGATGGGCCGAGTTGTCCGGCTTGCAAATGGAGGAAGAGCTCGCCTACCCGGTGCTTTTGCTGCTTATCGTGTAAAATTGATTAAAGTGCCTCCTTATTCGCCGGATTTGAATGCTATAGAGCATCTTTGGGCCGATTTAAAGACTACACTTAGGGGCAAGATATTCAACACAAAGGTCGAGCTTTGGTTCTTTATCAGAAACGTTTGGCGACAAATTTCTTCGGGAATTCTACGTGATTTCGTCGATTCAATGCCTCAACGCATTCAAGCAGTGATTTTGGCTAAAGGAGAACCGACAAAATCTTAATCTAGCTTTCCTTTTTTAATGGTGGGACCAGACTTTTGCACCACAGTGTATTGTGGTTTTTCCACACCACAAGAGGTTCATAAACTTTAAAATTGAAAGTAAAACCAACAATTGAAGAATTCTTCAGCTTGTCGTTGTTGTTGCTGGCTTTGTTACAGGTGGCGACCAGCTAAATGCACAAAACGTTTAAAAATCAACAAATATCAAGTAAAACTTTAGAAAAACTCACCAAAGTGTATGCAAAGAGTGGAATCGAATAGAAAATGTAAAAGAGAATTGCGTAAAACGAAATCATTGCTTCACGAAGACAATAAATAGCATCGATCGAGTAAAAATGAGGGAGGAAATTTTTGCGCTTATTTTACATGCAAATTTCGTAACTGTCGCATTCTTCGTGGCTGCCCAATCTCAATGAAAAACATGAAAAAATTGGAAAGTATTCACAAGGGAAAGGCACCAGGTCAAGCTTTTGACTCGGAACCAAATCCATCTTGTAGAGTCGGCCATGGAGGTCTCGAACCCGTTTTTAGTTTTTGCAGAAGGCTTCGCAAACGCGAGATATCCAAATTCCGGACTTCTTAAGAAGCCGACACACGTTTGTTAACAGATTCTTCGGTGGTCCAGTGGGTATTCGGCGAGAGTACTGGATCTCTTACATTTTTGAGTACTGGATCTCTTACAAAGCTTTTTTGCTTTTTTTGCTTTCCCTACGTATTTGCGACGAATAATAAAGTTGAATTTTATGCACCTGTAGCTCAGAAATGTGGCAAAAAATGTTAAATTTTTCAATACTTATGTACTGATTCTGATACTTTCGAAGGGCTTTTGTAACTATTTGTTGAAGTTACAGAAAGCATAGAAACTCGAGTCAATAACTCAATACAAATACGTAAGGAAACAGTTTTTGATACCCTTCCCTTGTTAGTTTTTTTGAGCGATTAGACCCCTGGTTTTGGAGCAACGTTGGTCAAAAATTGTTGTCACTTTTTGTTTTGTTTTCCTTGATTAGCGTTAACTTACCCATTTTCTGATTCTCATATGACTAGGTTTGATCAAAGTTGCCAACTTATCCACTTACTGTTGACATCTATGTGATGGGGGCTACAAAAATAGCTGGAAAACTGCTTCCTCAACTCCATTCTTTACTTTTGTCGTATTTGCGAGCTCTCATGACCTCTGCTAATTGTTTCTTCTTTTAGAACCATTCACCGACTGTACATCTTAGGTTGATTTGACAGATCTAGCAAAAGGAAAGTTGTAGATACTCTTAAAGCATCGTAGATGAAGATTGATGACAAGTTTGCCAAGTAGACGCTTATTTATCGAACACTCTTGAAATGGAAAATGACGTGAGATGACTCAGAAAAGAAGTTCAGAGACAAATAGATTGGTTACGGTCGCTTTTGAAGTTGATACTCTTCAAAAAACTGACACTAGCCAAGAGAATCACACTATTATTCCAATTACCGTTTGGCTGGGTATTTCGTTGGAATTAAACTACTCAATTGATCAATTGAATAGGTTATGTGTAGCCAAGAAGCTCCTGAAAACTTGAATGTTTAGCACGCAACCAAAAAATGATTGATCATCTTCAACGAATGTCTTCAAAAATCGCCAAACTCTCAATTCTTCGCGATCTCAAACTACAAAATATGAGAAAGAGAAATTGAAACCAGAGGAGCTCAAAATTTCTAAAGGTTAACTGAATAATTTTGTTTTAAAGTTGTTTATTTAAAAGTTAGAAAGAGTTGTTTAAGAGTTTTTTATTTAAAATTAAAAAATGAACCTTTCTGAGATCAAAGCATTGCTTGTCGGTTTAACATTTAGTCATAAAGTTTGATGGTCTTTTAAATAGTGTTTTTGTGATTATCATTTAAATTCAAAAATCTTTATTTTCTCTGTTCATAAATTTCTTATAAGATTTTTTTGAAACGGTCTTGATTGGTCTGTATTAAGTTAAGATTTTTTTGAAACGGACACTTGTTTTCCTGCGAGAAGCATTCCATTAACTTTCTCAATGGCTCTAGTTGCAGCGTTCTTGGTCTCGAAATGCACGAAGCCATAGCCCTTCGATTGTCCCTCATCATCGAGAGCAATCTGGAATAGAAATAATTACACTTTAATGTTATAAATAAAGATCTTAAGTACTGTATTCTTGTAATAAGTAACTAATCTTATAAGTCATCCAAATTCAGTTACTCTTGGATCCATTAGGATTGAGTAATCAAAAGATGAAAGCTGTTTTAAAATTTCTTATTTCCTGAGTTTTTAAATGATTACCTTGCACGAAAGAATGTTTCCGAAAGGCGAGAACGTATCGTAGACAGCTTTGTCGTCAATGGACTTGTCAAGATTCTTGATGAAGATCTTTCCAGCTCCAGAGCGACGAGTAGATGGATCACGATTGGGCCACATAATGCGAATCGGCTTTCCATTGAGTGCGTCGAAGTTCATCGTGGCAAGAGCACGTTCGGCTGAAATTCGATTGCATTTAATCACTTACAAGTCAAGTTTACAAGTCCTGCTTTCTATAAAAGTTTTAAGTTCTTAAACTAGCGTAAGAAGTCATGAAAAATTCATAGCCTTTTACCTACCATCAGCTGGTTGTTGAAAGTTGACGTAGGCGTAGCCGAGCGGGCGGCGAGTGATCGCAGTACGGCAGACACGAATCGAGAGAACCGGGCCGGCAGTGGAGAATTTGTCGAAGAGCATCGACTCGGTGACTTCAGGATGGAGATCACCCACGTAGAGTGAAGCCATCGAGTAAGAATTGGCTCCAGTTGGTGAAACTCCTTGTTGCATCCAACACAAATATCAACCAAATCTTCTAATTTCAAAGTTAAACTAGATACAGTCATGGGCAAAAGTCTTGGCGGCGGTGGCAACTTTCAAACGCAAATTTAGGAACCTTTAGGAACCAAATTTAGGCTATAAAAAAGTTGTCACAAGTATTTTTGAGCATTTTTGCTCTACTTTTAGCTATGACCAAGCATTGAACTCGAAAGTTTACTTTAAACAACCAAAATAAGCGTAAACGACAAAAAGGTCACGAAAACAATGGACAAAAGTCTTGGCGGCTTACTACAATACTCGTTTTTTTTCTATTTTTTTGTGTATCTTGCATATATTTTTGTAATGTTTTAATGTTTTTCAGATGCCTGGAGCGTATTTATCAACACCAGACAAAAAAGCAATTTTAGAAGCAAGAAATAGAGGAGAGAAAGAAAAAGACATCGCGGAAAAATTCAAATGCGGTACGAGGACAGTTGAACGCATCACACACAAGGCAACTGGAAACCTTCATCCAAAGCTCAAAACAGGCCGCCCACCGGTTACAACTCCAAGAGAGGATCGTAAACTCGTTTTGGATCATGGAGAAGAGCCGAAAAAGACAGCAACTGACGGCGTGGCTTTCATCAAGAATCTTTCAAATAGGGTTATCTCACGAAAAACTGTTAGCCGTCGTTCGATTTGCGCTGGATTGGTGACTAGAAGAGCTGCCAAGAAATCGCTAATGGTTGCCAGGCACCGAAAACTCAGGTGGCAGTTTGCGAAAAAGTACGCAAGTTGGACCGCCAACGATTGGGTCCTTCTCAACTCGACTCTTGATGCCCAGCGCTATAAGACGATCCTGGAGAACAAATTTCTTCCTTTTGCGACCGCCAAAATGGGACAAGGATGGTTCCTCTACCAGGACAATGCTCCTTGCCACAAGAGTCAGTTGCTTATGGTTCGACTTGCCAATGGAGGAAGAGCTCGACTACCCGAATGGTTCCGCGCGAATCGTGTTCAACTCGTCTCAGCTTCTCCATACAGCCCCGATTTGAATGTTATTGAACACCTATGGGCGTTTATCAAGACGAAACTCAAGGGAAGACGGTTTAACTCTAAGGCGGACCTTTGGTACTTCGTACGGCGAGTTTGGGCGACAATTGCGCCACAAATTTTACGCGATCTAGTTGACAGTATGCCCCGGAGGCTCCAAGCGGTCATTGCAGCTAAAGGCGGATCTACAAAATATTGAATTTTTCGCCTCTATGTCTGTGCCGCCAAGACTTTTGTCCATTGTTTTCGTGACCTTTATGTCGTTTACGCTTATTTTTGTTGTTTAAAATAAACTCGAGTTCAATGCTTGGTACTTGTGATACTAAATACTTGTGACAACTTTTTTATAGCCTAAATTTGGTTCCTAAAGGTTCCTAAATTTGCGTTTGAAAGTTGCCACCCAGGAGCCGCCAAGACTTTTGAACATGACTGTATTTATTTCAAATTTTGATAAGAAACCAACCTTTTTCTTGAGGAAAGAAGCACAGAATAGGAATAGAGTTTTTTTCAGTCAAAGAAATCTTATTTTTTTGACAAATTTTTGTGACCGTCAATGGCTCTAGGACAGAGGACTTAAAATCGCCTGGAGATACTATAGAACACTGGAAAACTGAACAGATGTTTACTTATAAGAATTGTATGCATTTTGGCAGTAAAAGAATTGGCACAGGAAATTCCCAATTGATGACTAAAAAGCTTTCCCATTAAGCCAGCCCACTTTATAGACATTTATGAGCTTATGCTGCTCTGCTTAGTGCAATTAAAAAGATTGATAAAAGATTGATAAATATACATATTCTTTTTGTTTTTCCCCTACCATTGCCGCTTGGACACCATTTGACCCTATCCAATTCGTGTAATTGAGTTTTGTCCCATCAGTCCACTGCCAAATCTTTGTTGATGAGTTTTGCTGTAAAAAAAAAAGATTACGATTTCGGATTCTGAATGAAATATTTAAGTGACAAGTCTATCAAGCTTACCTTGCATCAACGAAGACAAGGACGAAAAGGCAGGTCAGATCTATTTCGGCCATTGCCTCGGGAGAGAAGTCGCAGCTTTGCGCTCAAACTCTTTTGCATGGTTGATTCAAATCATTTTGAACTAATTAGATTCCAAACGGGCGTAAAAAGTGTTAACTATAGTGTATTCCAAAGTGAATGTTGGATTTTCTAAATATATTCGCGATGGCGGTATTTTGGGGGTACGATACCTGTTTCACTGAGAATTTTATGAAAATTCCAAATAAAATAAACTAGCATTATAGTCATTCGATAGCCCTGAATCTCCTGAAAACTAGTATAAAGTTACCAAAGATTTTCTGCAAAATATTGGGTTGGTGAATTGAAAACTGCCGGCTATTTTGCGGGACTCGCAGATAAAAAAACGACAGCATTGAACCAGCTGAAAGGGGGTTTGGTTACTTCAACATTTCCTCAACGGGGACAAATCTTTGAAAGGTGCAGAGGGCCGTGGAGCGGCACCCGAACTGGATGACTCCAAATTACTCGAACTCATTACCAACGACCATCGGGTATCATCGCCTGAATTGGGAGAAGAGTTAGGGATTGATCATGCTACAGTGCTAAGGCACCTTCATACCCTTGGATTTAAATCGAAACTTGGGACTTGGGTGCCCCATGACCTCACTGACCCCCAGAAGTGGCAGCGCGCCTCGATCAGTGCCTCTCTCATCCTTTCCCGAATTGTGAAAGGAGATGAGAAATTGGTTTTATCTGTGAACTTTCGGAGGAAGTGGCAATGGGTGGGGCCAGGCGTGAAACCCGAAAGTGACCCCAAGCCCGATTTGCACCAGAAGAAGTTTATGCTGCTCCGCGTTTTCTGGGATATGAACGGAGTGGTGTACTGGGAGTTGCTGGATAGCCAGACGGCCGTTAATGCAATCAAATACAGTGAACAGTTGGGAAAGGTGAATGAATCCCTGAAGAAGAATAGGCCCTCCAAGTCAAAGATCGTTCTCATCCACGACAAGGCGCGCCCTCATGTTGCAAAACTGACTCGCTCTACGGCGCATTCCCCATACAGTCCGGACCTAGCCCCTTTTGATTACTATTGATTCCGGATCATGAGTAATGAGCTTGCGGGAGAACACTTCGATTCGGAAGAAGCAGTCAAAAATTGGCTTTGAAAGTTTTTCGATTCAAAACTAAAATCCTACGAAGAAAGAGGAATCCGCAAATTGCCTGTAAAATGGGCAGAAGTCGTCAACAATAATGGAAATTATTTGGAACGAATTTATGGTTTTATGTTGAATAAATTCTAGTTCAAAGTACGGCATTTTTCATTTCACCAACCCAATAAATAACAAAAGTCCTTAAAGACTTGAGTTGACACGAAAAATAATCGTCATTAGTACAACCCGAAGATGTTCTATCATTGCATCAAAGCTGATTTCTTGCAGATGAACCTCGCCTCGTCAAAAACGGGTTTATTAGGAGATTCTCTTCCTTCGGATCGAACTTTATAAAGATTCCAGAGTCTCTCACCAAATGGAGTCCAATTGTAGCCTCTGTGAATCTAAAATAAATTATAGGCAACTTTATTTTCTACCGAGTCAAGAAGGGCAGTAGAATGACCGTCAAACATGAGAAACATAACCAATCGAGGTGTAATTCATTTTGAAATCTATTTCACTTTTTAATTATTTTTACATACGTGAGCATATACGGATCTTTCACGTGTTTCGATTTCGATAAACAATGAAGGTGAATCAATTTTCAAGTCACACGAGCTTCCAAGGATGAAAGGCAAACCCTTAGCCTTCAGTAGATTGAGTTAAAGATACTGTCAAGTCCCATTTGTTTGTATACATCAGATGATTTTCACAGACTGTTGAAACCAACAGTAAATGGTAAAAAAAGTCAAAGTCAAGTGGCATGCAAACAATTTATTTGATCACAATTAAGATGCCGCAATTTCGTTTCCTTTGAAAGACACATTGTGAGCGATTTTCTAAAATGAATTCGATTTAAGAATCGATGTAAGTTTGAAGTATACCTCAAAAATCCACTTTAACTTAGGAAAAACTACAAGCTGGCTATTATTTTAAAAACAATACCAAACCTGTTGTTTCGTGACTTTGATCGGCTTGCAGAGGATGCTCTTGCGTTCGGGCCGACTCCTGAAAAATAAAAAGTTGAAAATAACAATACCAATTATTTTTAGAAACTTATAAAAATATAAACTAACAATAAATCTTAAAAAGAACAAATCAACTTACGTAGCAGCTCCGATCGGCACGTAAATTTCCTGTGTATGGGGCTCGGACGTTGATTTGAGCAATCTAAAACAATGCAGATAATTAAAACAAAAGAATTCTAATTTAGAACAAAAGTTTATTATATAACAGATCATACCTGTAATCTACATAAAGTAATAGATTATTTAAAACATAAAAAACTAACGGTTCATTGGCTGTCTTCATTTCGGTCACCGATTCCTTTGAGCTAGCTGCATTCACCGTGTTGTCCGATTTGTCACTGAAAAGTAGAAAATTAGAATATTATTTGATGGAAGACCATTTTTCTAAAGAATTGGGCTCGTTTATGAACAAAATTCGTGCAGATTCACGCAAATAGATACCACAATTACATAAAATGTTCAAGGCAAACTTTTTCCGCATACACCTAACAGTAATAAAATTCATCATAACTAGGAAAATTTTTAAACATTTATAAAAACCTACTCATTTTCCGAATTCGCTTCTGCATCCAGTTCACTTCCTACTTTTTCGTCTGATGGCTAAAGAAAAGAATGTTTAAACAGAAAGCCTAGACTTTAAAAGAAACTGTCGTGAGTTTGCTACTTTGTTACGACTGTCGCCTTCTAGCAAAACATAAAACACGTCTGATTGAGCGTTCCTTTTGTATTGGGTCGGTACGGACACTCTATGATTCGCTTACCGAGGGAACTGGTCGATCCTGCGAGTTCTCCTCATCCTCGACATGTTCCTTTTCTGACTAAAGTTAAAAAGTTAGACAAGCAAACATCTTGATAGTAGATACATTAACAATTTAACCAGAAAAAGAAGTATTTCGGCCCAAATATGTCCTCAAATCTAACTATAAGACTCATGTAAACTGCTAGACACTAAAAACCAACAATGCTTCTAAATTAAATACCTTTGAGAACAAGATATTGTGGTTTTTCCACACCACATGAGGTTCATAAACTTTAAAATTGAAAGTAAAACCAACAATTGAAGAATTCTTCAGCTTGTCGTTGTTGTTGCTGGCTTTGTTACAGGTGGCGACCAGCTAAATGCACAAAACGTTTAAAAATCAACAAATATCAAGTAAAACTTTAGAAAAACTCACCAAAGTGTATGCAAAGAGTGGAAACGAATAGAAAATGTAAAAGAGAATTGCGTAAAACGAAATCATTGCTTCACTAAGACAATAAATAGCATCGGTCGAGTAAAAATGAGGGAGGAAATTTTTGCGCCTACCCTAGAAAGGATCATATGCTTATTTTACATGCAAATTTCGTAACTGTCGCATTGTCTTCGTGGCTGCCCAATCTCAATGAAAAACATGGAATTGAGATTGGGAACATTGGAAAGTATTCACAAGGGAAAGGCATCGAGTCAAGCTTTTGACTCGAAAACATATCCATCTTGTAGAGTCGGCCATGGAGATCTCGAATTCGTTTTTAGTTTTTGCAGAACGCTTCCCAAACGCGAGATATTTAAATTTCAGACTTCTTAAGAAGCCGCCACACGTTCTCTTAACAGATTCTTCGGTGGTCCAGTGGGTAGTCTGAGCAGAGAGTCTGAGTAGAGTACCGAACCTCTTACAACATTCCGAACATTTTTGTAACTTAGCCATTCTCTCATTCTCATAAGACTAGTTTTGATCAAAATTGCCAACTTATTCACTTACTGTTGACGTCCATGTGATGGGAGTTACAAAAATAGCTGGAAAACTGCTTCCTCAACTCCATTCTTTACTTTTGTCGTATTTGCAAGCTCTCATGACCTCTGCTAATTGTTTCTTCTTTTAGAACCGTTCACCGACTGTACATCTTAGGTTGATTTGACAGATCTAGCAAAAGGAAAGTTGTAGATACTCTTAAAGCATCGTAGATGAAGATTGATGACAAGTTTGCCAAGTAGACGCTTATTTATCGAACACTCTTGAAATGGAAAATGACGTGAGGTGACTCAGAAAATAAGTTCAAAGACAAATAGATTGGTTACGATCGCTTTTGAAGTTGATACTCTTCAAAAAACTGACACTAGCCAAGAGAATCACACTATTATTCCAATTACCGTTTGGCTGGGTATTTCGTTGGACTTAAACTACTCAATTGATCAATTGAATAGGTTATGTGTAGCCAAGAAGCTCTTGAAAACTTGAATGTTTAGCACCCAACTCACAAACAAATTGAGTTTATCAAGTAGACGCTCTATTTAGCCAAACACCCCCAAAAATGGTCGATGAGAGCACAAATGGATGACGTGAGGCGACTCGGATCGGCGATCATCGCAATTGTCACAGTCAAAGAAGAAAAGGAAAAGAAGAGCTCTTCTTTTCTCTGCTTCTTTCAAGATCACTTCTCTTGTGATTGATTTGTTCTCATTTTACCCAAAACCCAATCTCCGTTCACCGCGACGCTTTCTAAATGTGGCTCGAGTGATCGTCGACAAAAAGTGGGGGGGAGAGCCCAGTCTTTTTTTGTGGAGAGAGATGAAAAATGATTGATCATCTTCAACGAATGTCTTCAAAAATCGCCAAACTCTCAATTCTTCGCGATCTCAAACTACAAAGTATGAGAAAGAGAAATTGAAACGAGAGGAGCTCAACCATTTCTAAAGATTAACTGAATAATTTTGTTTTAAAGTTGTTTATTTAAAAGTTAGAAAGAGTTGTTTAAGAGTTTTTCATTTTAAATTCAAAAATATAAAGAGCTTTGCTGAGATCGAAGCTCATTTGCTTGTCTGCTTAACACTTATCCATAAAGCTTGCTTGTCTGCTTAACACTTATCCATAAAGCTTGCTTGTCTGCTTAACACTTATCCATAAAGCTTGCTTGTCTGCTTAACACTTATCCATAAAGCTTGCTTGTCTGCTTCACACTTATCCATAAAGCTTGCTTGTCTTTTTAAAAAGTGTTTTTGTTTTTATCATTTAAATTCAAAAAATCTTTATTTTCTGTGTTCATAAATTTCGTGTAACATATGAAAAAACAAAGCGAATTCAACCGTAATCACTTGAGTTACTTGTAAAGAATCGGGAAAGTGACCAGAGAAAACTAAGAAAAAAAAGGGAAAATATTGGCTAGCATGAAAGCTATTGTCTTCTCCAAATATTATTAGAATAAAGATATCAATCGGTTACCTACAATAGGGCCACTTTCAAAGCTTTTTTTTCATATTGCTAGAGAACATTTCGTAAATTTGAGATCGAAACTCGTAAAGGCTCAAATTCAGTCTTCCATTTTAGCACTCTTGCAAGCTTGAATAATCGTTGAAAATCGTTGATTTTAAGGCTTGAAAGAGGCTCTCAAGGGGGGTAAGACCTTCGTATTTACAAGTAAATAACAGTGGCAAGAATCTAATGAAGAGGCTTGCACTCTTGGTCTAATTAAAATTGCCTAATAGTATTGAACTGGTTGAAACATAGGGCATTTGGCATACCACCGTTGGCACGTGTTCGCCATATCGCCGGAAGCGGGTGGATTGCAGAGGGCATGCACCTTGGGATGAGTGTTAGCGCATTTGCATTCTGTTGTGCAATACGAGGCTGTGCAGTCAGGAGTGCAGCTGGCGATCATCGCAGCGGTGAGTTGAACTTTCTCAGAAGTGATTGAGGGAGTCTCATGAATACGATGAGTGAGAGGAGAGAGGGGAAGATCAAGACGAGCATCACCCTGAAATCAAAATGTAAGTATTTGGCTTGAAGCTTTAAGCTTGAAGATTGAAGATCTCTTGTTCTTAATCGATAAAACCAACCCTTGGCAATGGTGGAGGGACGATCATCTCGCCAGCTTCTTTCTTTTCAACCCCATCAACTCCACAATGTTTCTTGTAAGCGGGGCAGAATTTCGCTAGTTTTGTGAACGTTTCCGAATCCAAATCGGAAACTCTCATGTTGCAAAACTTGGCATAATGCTCAGCGTGTTTTGAGCAATAACTGCCAACATCTTGTCTCTTTGCGCGTCCAAGGCTCAGCACGGAAGCAGCTAGAAAATAGTTAGATAAATGTATTGTACTATAAAAGACAAATCTACTCTACTGTAAATGGTAAAAAATCTTACCTTCAATAAGCAAAAGATTTCCGACGAAAGCGGCGAATAAGAGAGAGCGGATCATTGATGATGAATTGAAGTTGAGGCTTAAAAGGGCCTTTTTGCATACCACTTTGGTAGTTGGGGGAATCTAATAGAAATCGAAGGGCTTATATAAGAAATCTTGAGTACCGCCCCTTTATGAGAAAAAAGGATCAGTGAACTCTTTTTGGGGGAAAAAAGATGGGCGGAGACTTGATCTCTTCGTACAGAGAAAAGAAAGGTTTCTTTGAAAATCGCCCTGTTGATTTTCAAAGATTTTTCTGCCCGGAAATCAACAACTTTTGCAGAAAGGTTATGGTGTTTTTGGGTATAGGAAAAACAAAAGTCTGATCGGTGGATGGTCCCCTAATGTAATTGTGGCGTTGTGGCTCTGTAATCCATCTTATAAATGTCAGACAAAAGGTAGAATCTTGTGTCAAAGTAATGAATGAAAGATCTGATATCTTTTGTATCAAGTGATAACATAAATACACTATTTTTAAGGAATTTTTCAAAGAGTAGACTGATTGAAGAGTGTTGCAGTTGGAATAGAAAGTGTCAAAACTAGAATTGCTTCAGAATTCCTAACAAAAACTCAACTTTTAACATTGAGTGGCTTTTGATAGGATGGTTTTTGAGAAGTACAGTGACTTTTGGAGAAGTACAAGACTCGTTTATAGCCTGTTCTTTACCGTAAAAAGTTTACCGAGCCAGAAGCCGTGTGTGTTTCAGCGTTTTCCGTCATTTTACAACCCAAAAATACATCATTCACATCAAATTTTAGATATAAATAACCCTTTTCTAGCAATTCTCTTAAACATTTGAAACTCTAGAGAATGTTCTTAGCAATGACCATTCAACTTTCTTCAATAGATCTATGGGATCTATGTCTCAATTTTGATAATAAACACCGGGAAGTTCACGATAACCTCTAAAAGAATTCATTTTGTCCTTTGTTAAGGGCAATCCTATTTATCACAAAAAAAAAGAATTTATTATTATGTTCGAGAAGTTTCCTCTTTTTATCCACGCTCGTGGGAAACGATTTGAAAGTCCCAATGAACTCGGAAAATTTGATTGATTATGGGATAATGGAGAGATAATGGAGTGATCAAAAAGGGGGAAGGGGAATTGAACTCAAATTTTTGATTTTGTAATGAAATTTGTGTGGGGGTAAATGGATAAATCATGAGAATGGATAAATCTAGAAGGCAATCAGCTCAAAAACATATCAACACTTTCGTAAGGGCGAAACTATTGAATAATAAATTTTGTCATACATATGTCTGAGATAATTTATGAGATAATCTAGAGTTTTTCGTTATTAAATGATTCTAGGGGTTTTTGAGGGTTTAGATTTTGATTTAGATTGGTTACTTTATGAGTTTAATTTATTGTTATAAGGGGGGTAAATGTTATGTAATTGATAGAAATAATAGTTTGAATCAGGCAATTGGCTTTGTGATTTGTGCTAGCTATTGCAGGAACCAGAAACCATTGGAGAGGTTAGGCCAAGGTTTGAACCAAGTTAGGCCTATCTTATTGAAATAGTATTCGACAAGTATTGATTGCTTTTTTGTGCTCAAAATGTAAACAAATTCTTTTTTGAGTAAGCACAAAAGAATGATGAAATGGAGATGTTTTATAAGTTAAATATAATTGAGATTGACTTATTATTGAGATATTCAATTGTTCGCTTGATAGTGAAGGATACTGTAAAGTAGACCTTAACGAGTCTAGACAAAATTTTCAGACAGTCTTCGCTCTTCGATTTTTTTCCTGCCCAAAGCTCCTACGAGCATGAAACCCAGTTCCCCCTCAAGCCCTTGTTCTAGGCTTCATTTTGATACTAAAAATGGCTAGGTTCTGTTTTGTCATTCTTTAGATTTTGATCAATCTTTCGCTGGACTCGATAAGCTTAACAAGTCCAGAAAAATTTTTATCTAAAATAACCAAAATCTAAAGAATAGCAAAACAGAATCTAGCCATGTTTAATATCAAAATGAAGCTTAAAATAAGGGTTTACGGGGGAACTGGGTTTCATGCTCGATGGAGCTTTGGGGAGTAAAAAAAATCGAAGAGTGAAGCAGACTGTCTGAAAATTTAAGGACTCGTTAAGCAGGTCTACTCAAACTGTGATTCTAGATCTAGATAAACCAGATATTCTAGATATTCTAGTCATTCTAGGGTCAAGCTTTGAGTACAAATTACAATCCATTACATTGGTTTCATGCTCGACGAAGCTTTGGGGAGTAAAAAAATCGAAGAGCTAGGCAGACTGTCTGAAAATTTTGTCTAGACTCGTTAAGCAGGTCTACTGTAAAGTCAAAGTCATACATGTGATTCGAAAATGTTCAGTATTGTATATCAATGAGTAGTGTAAAGATAAAAAAGTGTTTTCCTGTTTATTGCAAGCTTTGTTTTCATTTCGAAATCGTTCAGCGTTGTGAAGAGAGAGCTTTTGATTTCCTGTGTGCCTCAATCGTTTTTCCATTGTGTGAGTGTGAGATTTCTCACTTAAAACTAAAAGAACACTGAGAGAAACTCAATAGAAATAAAGAGTTGCCATGGCTTTACCTGAAAAGGATCTCACAAGGATTTGCACTCGATTTTTCTTCGAGCAGACTCAACACTCTGTCACCACAATAGCTATCGATCAAAAGTGGCTCGTGATTTTGAGAATATTGCTTTTCATTAGAGAATATTAGAGAAAATGGGAATGCTTTTTGATAATTTCGAATTTGTTTGGCTAAAATCTGGCATAATAGAGAAATCTTTAGGCAATAAACAGAAAATAGGCAAATCTTTAACTAAAGCTTTAATGAATTTGAGCATTATAAATAAAATGTTAAGTTTATCAATATTGAAAAGTTTAAATTGATCAACTAGCACTTTCAAAGATCAACTTTATACAGACTTTATACTTTATAACTTACAGACTTTATACAACAACTTACAGACTCTATACAACAGCTTACAGACTCTATACAACAACTTACAGGCTCTAGACAACAACTTACAGACTTTGCACAACAACTTACAGACTTTATACAACAACTTACAGACTTTGCACAACAACTTACAGACTCTATACAACAACTTACAGACTTTATACTCAAAAATCAACTTTATACAGATCAACACTTTATAAAGTTGATTTTCTTTTCCTTTCTCGATTTTCACTTTCAGAAAGATTGAAATTTTGTTTTTGATCACTTCCGCTTGAACAAAGCTCTCTGAAAATGGCAATAAAAACCGAAATTCGCGTTTTCAGTCTTTTGTTTTCTCTTTTAATTTATCTACTGTTTGAGCTTTTTAAAACTCAAACAATATTTTCGTTCTTTTAAGACAAATTTCTCACGCTTTACGTCTTTCGTCCCCTTTTTTACGTTCTTGTGATCTTGTGATCGCTTTACGACTTTTGTTTTCTTTTTTACGTTCTTGTGATCTCAAAATGTAATCCCCAATACCAGATAATAAATAAACCTTTTCACTGAACCAAAACTCGAGTAAATTCGTGAAAAATGACACGTGATAAAAAGAAAAAGGAAAAAAGAGACAGTGATCACTCAAAAGATGTCCCCTTTTCGACCCGAAAAAAGACTGGGCAAGAAAAAGGAAAAAAAATGGCGAAAATCGAATTAGAGCTATTTTGGGCATTTCCTCTAACACTAAATCATCGTCAAGCGAATGAATTGTGAAAGCTAGGGGAATTTTGGGTGTTCTCTAAAGATTTCCCGTCGTCATCGGACCATTCGAGTGCGATTCCGATGAGCGATTGGATGCCCGATTTGGAAGTTTTTTTTTGGATTTTGGATTTTGCGAGATCTTTGATGAATTTTTCTTTTTCTGTTTCCGAGGATACCGTAATCGGAAAGATAGATCAGGCAATTGGCTTTGTGATTTGTGCTAGCTATTGCAGGAATCAAAAACCATTGGAGAGGGTAGGCCAAGGTTTGAGCCAAGTTAGGCCTATCTTATCGAAAATTTCCAGATCCAGATTTGACCTAAGGTTAGCTTGGCTTAAATTTTTGTCTTTTTAGCTTCTAAACAATCCTTTCAACAATCCTTGGAACAATCTTTGAACAATGAAAAATCAACAAGTCAAACTTTTGTCTGACTGTTGTCAACAATTGTCTGATGAATATTTCCAGTTTTCCATTTCAATTATTTCAATGTTTCGAATGATTACGATGAAAGAAACTTCATTATTTGTTTGTGATTTACTTTGTGCTCAAAATGGAAACATAATTTCCTGGCTGACTTAAGGGCATCTTCTAGCGACAGTTCAGTACCGAAAAAGCTCAAAATTTGATGAAATGAGTACACCAGAACTGTGCTTTTGCGTGCACGTAAAGCACAGTTTTATCCTTTCATTGAGAAATAAATAAAATCTCTATTTAGTCTCACATTGGATGCTCTATTGGATGCTCTATTGGATGCTAGATCTGAAAATTGAATCGCATCTTTTCTGACAGATTCAAAGCTTTCCCTTAAGTAGAACTAACCCTTTGACTAACAAATGAAACCTAATGACTGATTGAAATGATTAATCTTTAAGAAAACTTGAGAACTAATTGTGATTCTTATTAACTTTATCATCTTTTTATAAATATCATTAACATTTTTTTTGTCTTAATCCCTTCATTTCTTTGATCTCCTTTCATTTCCCCTTTAAATCACGTCTCAACTCCATCACAGACTATCTCAAAATCGAAAGAAATGATCATGTGTTGCTATTTTTAGCTCAATTCCCCAACCTTACATTCTTTGTGCTATTTTGAGATTAATTTTCAGTCTTTTCTTTCAATGCCAATATCCTCGTCATGATAAAGCCAATATCCTCGTCACAAGACCAGTCAACTTTTTTAGTTCTTCACTTCATCACTAATCTCTTTCAAAAATCAATCCCTAACCGATCTATGATGTTTATGTTAAAAGAGCTCTTTGTTAAGGAGAAAAATGTTTGTTTTGTCATTTTTTTTTGCCTTTATAGAATTGAAAGAAAACTACATGAAGCACAAGAAAGATCAACAAAAGGGG